CCAACATGAGAACCATGATGAACCGTCCTTCCCTTCACCTCCTGATGGACCTCAGAGAGGAAACCAACATAGACCTCATGGTGGTTTAGTGTCGCTGTGGGTGGAGCTTTTTAACCAGCACATAGAACAGAATAGAACAGAATAGAATAGAAACATGGCAGTGAGGATCTAAGCAGGATGCAGATTCACATAAAGGAGAATAAGATCAGAGTCTGGACAGAACTGAAAACCCATAAACATCAGGCTTTTCAAAAACACTCAGAAGGGAATAGAAGTGAATGTTAGAGATGCTAAACCAGTCGCAGCGCATCGCTCCAGTACTGGGTTAACTGGTCTGGAAGCCATGGTGTCGAGTATAAAACCTGTTTGGAGTCACTTGTTCATCTTTAATGAGGAGTGAATTGTTTTTGTTAGCCTGTTTGTTTGGACCCGACTAAGAAGCTGCTCTGTCTTCTTGTTGCCGCAGGCTGCTAACGGCTACCTGAGGGACCAGTGGTTTCACTCCCTGCAGTGGAAGGTGAGCTCTTCATTTATCTACATCAGGTTCCTTTTGGTGACTCGTTCAGGTTTCCTTTTATCTCGGATCCGACCTGCAGACCTGTCCACACACAGAGCTGCAGCCTGACAGCGGCACGAGAAATGACTCAGAGTCAGAAGTTTGAAACAGCAGGAAATCTATCCTTTCATTATCAGATAATGTTGAACCCACAGCTCCTCATGCAGCCATTTCAACCGGAAGAAATAAGGTTCTTCTAGTCTTCTCAGACTAGAAGGTTCTGAAACATCATCCATGTAAACCGCATCTAAAGTCCAAACTAGTTAGAAGCACATCAGGACAGGCTGACCTTACAGAAGCAAACTAGGTCTGATCCAACGTCTCGCCTGCAGAAAAAGATCTACAAGTACCGGAAAGTCCTGAACAACCCGAGTCGCTGGGATGTGGTGCTGAAGGAGATCCGAGCGCTGGTGGACATGGCTCTGACGTCTCCACTGCAGGACGAGTCCATCCACCAGGCCCCGCTGCACATCATCTCCACGCTGCTGGCAGAGGTTGGTCATTTCCTGCTGTGGGCTGCACATGCAGACACGCACGGACACGTGCACCTGTGGACGTGTCCATAGAAATACGAACAGGGACACAGGGGGTTCAGTTTGAATGTCACGCTTCAGTTCTGAATTTTTAGCAGACTGACCTGAAGCTGAAAGGAAGCGTTTTTTTTGTTTTTATGTCTGGACATTGGGCCGGTTCTGCTGCGCTTTCTCCACTGACAGTCTTTGTTTCTGGTTCTGTCTGCAGAACTCCAACCTGAGCGCTCAGGACCACGAGAACATCATTGTGGTGAGTTTGGGTTCCCCGTTTTTACCGCCGTTGATGCAGGTTTTTGTGCGACTCTGGTTCTGAGTTCTGGGTTTCTTTGTGCTCCTTTGAAGGCGATCGCTCCTCTTCTGGAAAACAACCATCCTCCCCCCGACCTGTGTGAGTTCTTCTGTAAGGTGAGCTGAGCGGCAGAAACCCGGTGCGGCCCGTCTGAGTCGGGTCGCAGGTTTTTGACGCCTCTGCTGTCGTTGCAGCACTGTCGGGAGCGGCCGCGGTCCAAGGTGGTGATTGAGGTCTTCACTCCTGTGGTCCAAAGAATCCTCAAACACAACATGGTGAGAAATGGACCGCACCAGAACTGTTCAGCGACTCCGAGGTCCAAACACTCGCACAACGTCCACAACTCTGGGTCAGAACTCGTCAGGGAAGCTGAAAACCTTCAAATGGTTCTGGTTCCTGTCCAGCTGGTTGTTCCTCTGAATAGGCCCCTGAAGAACCTTCTTCCTGTTTGATTATTCAGTTCTTTTCAGCTGCCTAGTCTGGCAGGGTCAAAGGTCAAAGCTGGACCTTTGTCCAGTAGAACAGAGCCTAATCCTCCAGGTCCCCAGGTCCAGTAGAACAGAGCCTGATCCTCCAGGTCCCCAGGTCCAGTAGAACAGAGCCTGATCCTCCAGGTCCCCAGGTCCAGTAGAACAGAGCCTGATCCTCCAGGTCCAGTAGAACAGAACCTGTTCCTTGTCTGAGACCAAGCAGAGAATGGCCATGGCTCCATGTCGGCGGTGTTCTCTGGTTCTGTTCTGACCCGTTAGCTGCTGCTGGAGCGGTTCCTCTTGGGTTGCTCCGGGTTGTCCTCAGTGTCCTGTCCTCTGTCCTCTCTGCAGGACTTTGGGAAGTGTCCTCGGCTGCGCCTCTTCACCCAGGAGTACATCCTGGCTCTGAACGAGCTGAACGGAGGCATGGAGGTGGTTCAGAAGTTCATCCACAGGTGAGCGGGTTCCTCTGAGTCTGTAGGTGAGAAGCTCAGCGCCTCGGGCTAACCTCCACCTCCTCCTGTGTTGCAGCATGCATGGCCCCACGGGGCAGTGCCCCCACCCACGGGTGCTCCCCAACCTGGTGGCCGTCTGCCTGGCTGCCATCTACTCCTGCTATGAGGAGTTCATCAACAGGTCAGTCTCCTCCTGCTCCATTTTTCCGTTAATCGTCTATGTTTCCAGCTGCGATCACTCTGACCTTGTGGGGTCTTTGCCTCCATGCCGCCATTGATCAGACAAACATTGTTGCTCCTCGTTTCCACATCCAACAGGAAAAGGGAGAAACGGTCATTTCCAGTTGCTAGCAGGAAGGCATCCCATAATCACATCGTTCATCAGAGCCTTTGTAGCTCTAAGCTGATTTGCTGCATTGCATAGAAACACACCAACAATTATAGCAACTACTGAGGAGAAAGCCCTGCTGCCTGCAGTCGTTTTATTTTGGTAGTCAAACGTTTAATTTCCTGTTAAAAGAGGCTGTCTGATCCGACAGTCATGATCCGTATAGAAAACGCAGCATAGGAAGGTGTTGAAATGGCCTAGTCAAAGTTCAGAGCAGAAGCAGCGTTCTCTGCTCAGAGGGAAAACAACAGCTGATGTTTGGGGTGTGAAAACTTTAGGCAAGAACTGCGATCAGATGAAAGCCCTTTCCAGGAATCCATGTTTGGATGTTCTGGTAGTTTCCTTCGGGGCCTCGTTAGCTCCGACCCCAGAGCCTCTGTGCTCCCGCAGCTCTTGTATCCATAGCAACCATCACGCCTTCTCTCCCTTCACGTCTCCCTGTGATGTTTGTCCCCCCTGCAGCAGAGACAACTCCCCCAGCCTGAAGGAGATCAGGAACGGCTGCCAGCAGCAGAACGACCGCAAGCCGCCGCTGCCGCTCCGCCTGCTGCGGCCAGAACCCCCGACTCCGCCCCCCGCCACCATCCTCCCGCTGTCCGGCTCCCCCAGCCCCCCCGAGCCGTCTCCATCCACCCCGTCCATCCCCGTCTCCTCCCCTCCTCCCTCTGCTGTCAACTCCAGCGAGATCCTGGTGGAGCTGGAGCGGAACAACAACACGACCAACGCCAAACGGAAGGGCGGGCCTGCAAGGGGCGACAGCGAGCCCAACCTCATCGACTGTCTGCTGGTCAGCCCGGCTCTTAACACCCTGTCCATCCAGCTGCCGGCGCAGGCGGACCGGGTGCTCGGCTGCTTCGCGCTCATCCTCAAGATGCTGTAAGTTCACACAGTAATGTTTATCGCTTCAAAGCTTGTTTCAGAATGAAGCCCTTTAATTAAATGAAATTATGACTTTTCATTTTCTCCTGCATTGAGATCGGGTTTTATTCAAATTTATATCACAAAGCAGGAAAAAAGGTTCAGCTCTGTCAAAAGTCAAAAAACTTCCTATTCAGCTCTTTACAGATTATCAGTAATCCTCAGAAAGGAATAAATCAGAGTGCAGAGCGAGCGCGCCCAGACCTCCAACCTCTGACATCTATGATGCAGACAGGAGCAGACGCGCTGCAAATACATGCATGAAGCAAAAGACACAAAAATAAATAGAGAACAACCTGCTGCAGAGACAGAAACCAGACCCTGATGAGAAAAGCTAAAACCGGCTGCAAACAGAAACCCTCCACACCACTAGGGGGAGTCGGCCACACGCTCAGACGGTGCTGTCCTATGATCACCATCGGCTCCTCTACTGTCATTACGCTACTAAAAGTACCGATTTCTATCCTGCCGTCAAAGATGCTTAACTACTCATATAAAAATAACTCTTCAGAGATATTTATATTCTGATTGTGAAATTGCTTGTCTGTCATCATCAGTTGTTTTCAGAGCAGTCTGGCTAAATATGTTCAGTGTTTATCTGTATTTTATTTCCTTAGATTATAAACTAAAAAGCATGAAAAACAAACATTAATTACAGGATTTCCGTGGGTCAGTGAAAATAGTTAAAAGTCATTAAATTATTATTTTTCTAAATAAATGCCTTAATTGGTATTAAAATTAATTAAATGCAATTATTTTGACATTTATAATGCTTTATTTAAAAAAGAAAAAAAAAAACGTTTTACAAGGCGCAGTGGGTACCATGCGGGAGAACATGGAATTTGCATGTTCTCCCTAAGCATGCGTGGGTTCTCTCCGGGTACTCCCGCTTCCTCCCAAAGACCAAAAAAAATGTCTGTTAGGTTAATTGGCTTCTCTAAAGTCTTCTTAGGTGTGAGAGTGAATGGTTTGTCTCGTTTGCCTCCATGTAGCCCTGTGATGGACTGCCGACCTGTCCAGGGTGACCCCGCCTCTCACCTGTAGACAGCTGGAGATAGGCACCACCATCCCTCCTCACCCCGCTTCAATGACGGGAAATGGATGGATGGATATTTGCGCGGAAATGCTTCTGGTTGACCGTAAAGGCGTATGTTTGGAAAAGAAGCTTGAGGTAGAGAAATAGCTAGAGAATGAGGAAAATGCAAATTTCAACAAAATTGGCTGGAAAACGAGAAAGTTGGGACCTGGCTGCAGCCTGTCGACAGATTTATTTATGTATATATATATATATGACTCTTATATACGGGAGTCATGGGTAGTTGTTGATGGCATTAAAATAATTTCTAAGAGCATTACATTAGAGTTACTCATTCCCGTATAAACCCTGAATTGATACAATTATTTCCAAATCTGAAAAATCAACCACTGGAAGTCGGACAGGATCGCAATTCACAGAGAGACGAGTGATGAAACTGAATTTATTTTCTCAGGAAAGTCGTTATTAACTGTTTAAATGTGTTACGTCAAGAAGATTTAGAAATTTTATTTAACAAGGGGAAAAAAGTAATCTATGATCCGGATGGTTCTGGTGGCACAAATGCAAAAGCTGATTGCCCAGATGTGGTGGTTAAAAAAAACACTCTGCAGACATTTCTTCTTCTTGGGATGTTTATTAATTCACAGCTTATTGTATGTCTGAGATGTGTCATAAACACACTGAAGAAATACAACATTCATTAATAAATGAAATCAAACTGATCTCAGTTTTGTGTTTGGAGGAGATGCAGAAGCAGAAACCTCCAACTGGTGTAAAGAGATTCTTCTCTAGATATGGGATAAGATCAGGAAATGAAAGACGGTCCCTGCAGGCGCCAGCTGCAGCTTAAAGGAACTTTGGACCTGGTTTGGTCATAAAAGCTGTCAGCCAACTGTTGTGTGTGGTAAAATAGGCGGGATCTGCTGATTAGAGGTGCAGGGTGGGGCGTTGACCTACAGACTATTAGTCCTTTCTATGTTACATTAGCGCCGCTGCGCCCATGTTGCACCTTGGCTGCTCCTCACTGATTTCTTGCTTTCCTTTCAGGTCGGACTACGATGACTGGAGGCCAGCTCTGGCCAGCCTCCTGCAGCCCATCCCCTTCCCTAAAGAGTGAGTTTTCACATCCTCACTTCCTGCTCATTCAGCCAAGCCAACAGGCAGCAGTTAAATATCAGCATGGAAGCAGCAGGCGGCCGCTTTGAGCCTCAAAGGAGCAGCTAAAGCAGCGACTTCAGTTAGCAGCTAACTCTGCTATAGAGCAGCAGCACGTCCAAGGCTACAGGCCCTGTAGAAGCCCTTCAGAAACTATGCTGGCGGTCCACTCTGCTGTCCGTTTGCAGAGATGTTCCTGCACATCAGCAGCAGGTGTGACCCATAAAGGTCTGGGCTTCGACTAGAATGGAGGTCTTCAACAGGAGGTCCACGACCGTTTCATTCACAACACCTGACCCATCAACAAGGAATTAAAATCAGAAATACTTTAATAATCCCAGGGTGAAATTGCTTTTGATACATTACTCCATCTGTAATAGAGTGACTATAGGATCAGTTTGATAGAACACTATTTCATACAATATATATATAATTAGGGGGTCCCCGCTCCATCTCGCCATCAGTCTGGGGGTCCTTAGCCTGGAAAACCTTGAAGACGTGGACTAGACCATTGCAGCAGAGGCGTAGCTGCTATTTTCTGATCTGCTGTGGTTCCCCTCTGACACCTGATGACCTCACCTCCTCCCTGCTTTTTGTTGTGGCCCCTGAGGGGCCCCCTGCTGCTGACGTGGGTCGGTAGCTGCGGTCCCAGCCTTCCTGTCCCCAGATAGCTTCTGTTGTTGGCTGGCCCTCCCACAGCTTCATTAGCTGAACATCACTCCAAAGCAGCTGCTTCTCAGCTAGGCCCCGGGGCCCGGTTTGTGCTTCAGGGCCATTAGGAGAGGTGGTGCAGCCGCTGCAAATAAACAAGTCATCCTGGTAGGAGGGTCATTGACCTGCAGAGGAAGCAGCTCAGTCTGTGGGGTGTGATGTTATCCTCTCTCTGGACCTGGACCGTATCATGCGAACACAGAGCAGGGTCCAGGTCCAGGCTGATCGGCAAAATGAAGGGGCTCCAATGGCCTAGTCAAAGCCCAGACCCCAAAAGGTTTGAGGTGATGTGGTTGGACCAACGTGCTGCTTAGACTGTGAAAACAAGCAGGGACACAGAAGCCTTCACTGATGTCCTCCTGGGGACAATTAAAAGCTGAGCTGTGCTCCCAGATGATTAAATGGAAAATGTAACGAGCTTGTTGCTCTTTTTAAACGTTTGAATGTGTCACCAGCATCACTGACGCAAAGTTTTAGCAGCAGGTTCCAAAGTTTGCTGTTCCTCACATCTGTCTGTTTTCTCCTGCAGAGCTCTGGCACACGCTAAATTCACCAAGTAGGTATCTGTTCCATTCCCGTCTGTCCCCGTTTGTCCCAGTCTGTCCCAGCCTGTCCCCATCTGTTCCAATCCAGCACAGCCTAAGGTTTGTGTCTTTGCCTTAACAGGGAGCTGAAATATGTCATCCAGAGATTTGCTGAGGACCCGAGGCAGGAGGTGAGTGACTCGCTATGCCTGTTTGTAGGCGTCTGAGTGGAGATGATGTGATCAGCGCCTCTCTGTGGCCCTCAGGTCCACTCCTGCCTGCTCAGCGTGCGCTCCGGGAAGGACGGCTGGTTCCAGCTCTACAGTCCTGGGGGCGTGGCCTGTGATGATGACGGCGAGCTGTTTGCCAGCATGGTGAGATCATCAATGGCAATCACCAT